TCCTCGCCTACGACATTTTTGTCGCAGCTTGGGCTTCCCCTTCTCCAGGTTTGAGGACTTCTCTTTCTCTGGTTTTGAGCTCGTCTCCTTCTCCATGTTTGAGCGCTTTTCCTTTGCTAGGGTTGAGCGCTTCTCTTTCTCCACTTTCCCGCTCTCAACCTTTTCTACGAGCTTCCCCAATTTTCCGCGCCAATCCTTTCTCGAGTGCGAAACAGTTTGCGATTCCTCCAATCCTGTCCTCCTTTCCTTCGCCCCATCCTTTTCTACCTTTTCTTTGCTCTTCGTATGCTTCTCCTTCGCTAGTTTTCCGTGCTCCACCTTTTCCGCGATCTTCTCCATTTTTTCGCGCGGAACCTTTGGCGACTGCGAATCAGAAGGGACATTTTGCGCTCGCTCTCTAGTTCGCCTGCGAGGTTGATGACCGATCTTGTTTATTTTACTCCACATCTCCGCAACCCAATCATCAAATGCTTGTTGATTTTGTTCGATCTTTTCTTGGTTCTTTTCCATCTGCGACAGATTTCTTTTAGCGACAAATATTCCACACCAGCGATCGTAGCAGGCTCTGATACCACTGATAGAGTACGCAGTATTACCAGAAGAAATAACAATCAAGCTAGCTTCAGAAAAACAGTAAATCTCATTAATGGCGGTAGACAGTACAATCCAGTCCCAAAGAGAAGAGAACTATTCTCTAATCTCCCAGTCCCAATGCCAAAAGAATCCAAAAGCCTCCTTACTACTTCCCCTTCCCATCTATTTATACTAGAGACCCTTATTACTAATATTATTATTATTACTTCTAATATTATTCTAATAAGTAGGTCTCTATCATTGTAACCCTTATGCTGTGAGGAATAGCCTATGAACACACACTCTTCAGAGTGAAAATCCATTTTGTGTTTATTGTAGGGTCTGATAAAAGGAAAACAGGAACATCCAAATACTCTAAGGAAGGAGTAATCTGGAATAGAACCATATAGTTTAAAATATGGACTGGAATTTGCAATTGACTTTGAAGGAGTTCTATTTATAAGATGGACTGAAGTTGCAAATGCAGTATCCCACAACTTGTGAGGTAAGGAAGAGTGGACTAGAAGAGACAGACCTTTCTCAACAATGGTTCTATGTTTTCTCTCAACTACACCATTTTGGTGATGAGTGTGAGGACAAATGATTCTGTGTGATGCCTTTTTCTGTTAGAAATTTGGTGAAGGATCTGAACTCACCTCCTCAATCAGATTGAAGAGATTTAATTGAAGCAGAAAACTGATTAAGAACATACTGATAAAATTTTTGAAAGGCAATAAGAGTATCAGACTTCTTTTTCAGGAAATAAATCCATGTATACCTTGTAAAGGCATCAATGAATGATATATAGTAAGAATATCCATCAAAAGATAACATGGGAGCTGGTCCCCAAAGATCATTGAAAATTAGTTCAAATGGTTAGTGAAAAATTGTATTGGAAGGAAAAGAGGGAAGTCTATGTGCTTTACCAAGACAACATGAAGAACAAAAATCAATAGCACTTTTATTAGAAGTAGGAACATTACATTGTTACATTACAGATTTGAGGGCTTCAAAATGAGGATGACCTAGCCTCAAATGCCACAGATTACAAGAAATAGAACTATTACAAGTCTGAATGTTATTACAGAATTTATTTTGTGACAAGGATGGACTGGAAATAAGAGCTGGAAGTGACTGGAACTTGTAGAGACCATCAGCACCCAAAATGCCATGTAATAGAACCTTTTTAGAAGCCTGTGATTTTACAAAGCATTCATGAGCATGAAATTCAAAGAAAACATTGTTATCTCTTGCAAACTGACTAACACTAAGCAAATTTTTGGTTATGGAAGGGACATGGAGAATATTGTTAAGTAAAAGAGTATATGAAGGATGATAAGGAGAGGAAAAGGAAGAGTAACCAATCGACTTAATGTCCAAACCTTGACCATTGCCCATGAATAGCTTGTTAGATGTAGTAAGTGGCTCACTATGTTGAATGTTGAGGGGATCAGGTGTGACATGGTGTGAAGCTCCAGAATTTGGAAACCAATTCTGAGAATTAGGAGCTGGTCCTAGCAAGGAAGAATTTGCAGAAGCCTAGGCTGCAGTTGGTACAGACTGATTTTGAGGTGAATGTGTAACATTATGGTTGATAGATCCCCAGTTGGTATGTTGAGGAGGTTGAATGGGATTAGGCATAGGAGAGTAGCTTGGTATTGGTGGAGTTGATTGTGAATGTGGATAAGGATTAGACATAGGATAGTAGTTATGTTGAGGTGATTGGGATTGAGGTTGATTTGGATATAGGATTGGTTGTTGTGGATAGGAGTGATAAGGATTTATAGATTGATTTGATGAGGTAGAATTGGAAACTGTATAGGAAGGATTATACATGTGATAGCAAATAAGAGCACTATGGCCAACTTTACTGCAAACTTGACAAATGACATAATTGCAACCTCCAGATCTACCACCTCTGCCTCTGTTAAAACCGCCACGGCCTCTACCTCTATAGGTAGAATTTGTACCAGAATTATCATACTCAGCAAGTTGTGCAGATGGACTTTCAGTAGAGATTTGATTACCAGTATCAGTATTTTGAGGAGCTTCTTCAAGTTGAGCAACATTAGCAGAGAATAATGTCTGCTGCGAAGAGTCGCGAAGTTTTCTCATTCGCAACTCTTTAGCCAGCAGGAGAGATTCAAGTTCTGACACGGTTATAGGATCCAGAATGCTTCTAGATGTAACAGAAGATACGATCGAGTCATTTATGTGATCCTTGGTGGAGATAGGTTCACCGACAGAGGTCAGATTATCAATGATGGTTTGAATACGAAGCAGATAATAAAAAATGGAACGATCACCTTTTCCGGTGTTGTATAGCTCAGATTTCAGCTGGCGAGCCTTCGCGACAATGTTTGATCGAAAGAAATGTGCGATTTCACTCCAGAGTTGATACGAAAACGTACACTTGATGACACGAGCATGAAGCGACTCAGAAAGAGATGGCAACAACCACGAAAACAGCATTTGATCTTGCTGTTCCCAAACACAGTATGCTTCGTTGATCGTCTTTGTCGCTCTATCGTCGCTGATGATAAATTGATCTGGAATTTGAGGATTTTCAATAAATTTCAGAAGTTTGTGTGCTCTAATCACAAATTTCACATGATGTTTCCAGAATAAGAAATTGTTAGAGTCTAGTTTGATTGGTAAGGGATGATGGAAGATGATCGGAGAATTTTGAGAGGCTGATTGAGAGGTTGCAGAATCAGACGTCGAGTTCGGCATTTTTGGAGTACAGAAGCTCTGATACCCTAATAGAATTTAAGATAGAGAGAATGAGGAAGAAGGATTATTCTCATTGACTGTAATGAAGAGTACAGAGAGTATTTATAGAAAGCTACAGCTCAACTGAACTAACTAACTAACTGAAGTACAACTGACTTATACTAATACAATTCGTATAGTATATCTAACATATACCAACTTGATAGTAGCTTTTAATCTCTTAACTTCTTGATGAGATCAATTGAGATTGACAAGCTCAACACACCGGTAACCAACATAATTAATACTACCTCTGTCCCTTAAAACTTTGCTAAAGTTGACCGGCACGGAGAATAATAAAGTAAAAACTGTGTGGTTGAGGTTTGTGCAGAGGAGAGAGAAATAACAGAAACCACAAAATAATTGATTAAAAGGGAAAGTGGCAAAGTTTTTTGGGACGTCCCAAAAAGGAAAAATGACAAGGTTTTAAGGGACGGAGGGAGTACCTCTTTAGATTACTGATCATGAGACCATGCATTAATAACCCAAAGTTACTTACTTATGAAATAATCATTGATTAACTACTGGCGCATTGATCATTTCTAATAGTAATTAATGTTGAAACGTTAACCAAGAGAAATTTTATGGAGCCCTATATGACTCTACTATGGAGTCATATAGCATATGTAGCTTCACACAAATTACTCATTTTTAGAATGGGGTCCTCCACTATAAATCCACTATAAAATTAAATGGCGATTATGAAGCCACATGGCCCACATAGACTATATGACTCCATAGTGGAGTCATATAGGGCTCCATAAAATTTTTGCGTTAACCAATGACTCACTTAGCAACACCCCAACATTAATATAGAAATATGATTAGGGAAGAATTAATACTCAAGAAGAGAAGTTTAGGAAAATAATTCAGAATTTTAACATTCAACAAGCTTCAAGATAGAAAGACCAAGATAAAAGAGTTTAGCTTCTCATTTGGAGTCTAAACATGCTAGAAAATATAAGGTAAGTACTAACTTAAACTGAGCTTAAGTATATGGAAGAATGGATATGTAAAATGGGAAGGAAATGGGTGCTTTTATAAGAGTTTTGGGGCTGCTGGGTCAGATACCCGATCGGGTATATCCTTCACAGTAGCTACGAAAGTGCTGTCAAGTCATACCCGATCGGGTATGTCATTATACCCGACCGGATATGTGACTAAATCTGATTTTCTCACGTTCTCTTGTTTTATTTGATCTTGTATATCTCCGGGTCGAACCATACCCGACCGGATATTGGTTATACCCGACCGGGTGTGTGACTAAATCAGATTTCTTGAATGATATTTTACTCCCTTGCACCTCACTTTGATCTTGCTCATGATCAATCTAAAGTTATCAAAGTTACCACAAACTCGGAAAATAAAAGGTTACACCGTAAATGTGCAATTACTACAACAAGACACTGTAAAAACTACTTCAAAGTAATAACATAGACATGGAAAAACTAACACAATCCAAACTGACACAATCTTAATGTGGCTTATCACAACTTACAGAAGATAATGTGATATAGTTTTAGCCTCAAGCTTAGAATGCTAGATTTGAGTCCTATTTAATCACTAGAAATCTTCGCCAGCTGTAACATTACCATCTTCTAGAACTTTTCAAATAAAGTACTGTCTCAATATATCCTCATATTCTTCCCGGCCAGGTCATTTATCGTATCAAACTTCCTGGACCTGCTTTATTGGGTGAAGGCAAGCCAGAAAACCAAAACCATGCAATAATCTTTACTCGTGGTGAAGGATTACAAACGATTGATATGAACCAGGTACATAGTAAGACTGTATAATTTATTCTTGGGCTCCTACAGAGTTCTGATTAATGACCATTTGAAAGGACAACTACATGGAGGAAGCATTCAAAATGAGAAATTTATTGCAAGAGTTTCTTAAGAAGCATGGAGTGAGGAATCCAACCATTCTGGGGCTGAGGGAGCATATATTCACTGGCAGGTATTTGGACATTTCCCAAAATTGTTCTAGGAATATATTTCTCAGTCCCATCTATTGTAATGGCTTGTTTGTGTACAGTGTCTCTTCTCTTGCATGGTTCATGTCAAATCAAGAGAATAGTTTTGTCACAATCGGACAAAGATTACTGGCCAACCCTTTGAAGTAAGTGTTATATGTGACAATAGGATTGTGCTTTTGCATTATTTATTGCAAATTTAATTTAATTTGTGGGATGTTAAGAGTACTTTTTATTGCATCAAGATTTACTCTCCAATGATTCATGAATGTTTGTTCCTGCTATAAATACATATGGTCAAATAAAATGTACATGGATCCATATGGTCTAATTAAATGCTTTATGCTAATTGCTGACACAAATGACAAATCTATATGGTCTAATCAAACACATTAAAATGTGAAGGTACCTAAATCCATGTGGTCTAAAAAGCTATATACTAATTGCTGACATCCTATTTTTGGTTTCTTATCATTTGAATTCAGGGTTCGTTTTCACTACGGTCATCCGGACGTATTTGACAGATTGTTTCACCTAACAAGAGGCGGTGTCAGTAAGGCATCCAAAGTGATCAACCTAAGTGAAGACATTTTTGCAGGCATGATAAATCATACAAATTCTCCTATAGTATGTTGATTTGTAATTTTGGTCCTTCATAACAAAAATAAGTGTTGCAGGTTTCAATTCTACACTACGTGGGGGAAATGTTACACACCATGAGTATATACAAGTGGGTAAAGGAAGGGATGTGGGACTCAACCAAATTTCAATGTTTGAGGCAAAGATAGCCTGTGGAAATGGAGAGCAGACAATTAGTCGTGATGTTTATAGACTTGGACATCGCTTCGATTTTTTCCGCATGATGTCATGTTACTTCACCACCATTGGATTCTATTTTAGTACTATGGTACTTCTTCTACTCTTCTTTGTCTGTCTTCATTGACCATCTGGCTTGTTCTTTTATCCAGTGACCCCATCCACATGAAACATTAGTTTTTCTTTCAAAGTTTACCATTAAATGAAGGCATTGTTGATAAAACGAAGAGACATCATTAATCTAGGATTTATTTTCCTTATTATTACTGTAATTATGTATCTTTAGTGCTTCAGGTTGTATTTAATAGCTGATGTCTTTTCAGTTCTCAATCATTTATGTTTAGTATTTAGACAGTCACCTAGGGTGCTAAATAGACTCTCTCAGGATTCCTATCTGTATAAATAGCTTATGTACTTCTTGTAAATGAATTCAAGGAAATAATATTCAGAAAACTTCATGGTATCAGAGCTTGGTTTCGTCTAAGCCTTTTTTGAGTCAGTCTATCACCTCTCCAACGGTCATTTTTTGGGTGTCTCTACCCTTCTCTCTCTTTAACTCCCGGTGGAGTCTCTTCATCAAGGGTTTTATCATGTCTAAAGAAGCCGAATCAGCCTCAAGTAACCTTGATCACTCAACCATTGTTTCAGCTGCTACTGCAGCCGCGTTTGCTCTTCGAAACCAGAAATTTGATCTCCCTTCTATCCCGCCATCTTACCGTCTCAATGACAGGAACTATCTTGGGTGGTCAAAGCTGGTTTACACTCTTCTACGTGGCAAAGATCTTGAAGATTATCTCACTGTCTCTACCCCAGAAGAAGGAGAGATTGATGCTGCTATTTGGGAGAAAACTAATGCCAACGTACGGGTCTGGTTATGGGACTCTATGGATCCCAACATTAGCAGTACATGTTTATACATGGACTCGGCTAAAGAAATCTGGGATTTCATACAGCAGTCCTACTCTGTTGCTAAAGATGGCGCTTTTGTCTATGACTTATGGCTCAAAACAACGAATCTTAAGCAAGATTCACAATCTGTCACAGATTATGCAACTGACCTCCAACGACGATGGTCTGAACTTGACCAGTATCAAACGATGAAGTGGTCGAATGCTGCAGATGCAGCTCTTCACAAGAACTATATAAATCAGCAACGTCTATATTGCTTCTTGTCTGGTTTAAATCCCGAATATGATCAGACTCGGGGTCAAATTCTTGGCATTACTCCTCTGCCTTCCATATCTTCTGCCATTGCCACTATCAAACATGAAGAGAGCAGACGCAATATAATGATGAATACAAATCTGATTGACAGTACAGCTCTTGCTGCCAAATCTACTCCTTCAGATGTTAAGGAAACTAAGGGTAGTAAGGGAGGAAGATGGTGTGATCATTGCAAGCGGTCCAACCATAATGTGGATACATGCTGGAAACTTTATCCTCATCTACAGAAAGAAAGGAAAAGCCAAGACAGACGTGGAATGAGTGCTGGACGTGCCAACTCAGTCACTCCCACTATTGTTGAGAGCTCTACTAATCTTTGGCCCATTTCCCAGGAGGAATTAAAGCAAATTCGTATGATGTTACAGTCTCTTAATAACTCAAATGGTTCTGGTCATAGCTCTTTGGCCCTGCAAGGTAAAACCTCTACTATTTTTTGTCTTAATGCTTCGGAACAGAGTTCACAATCCCAATGGATATTAGACTCAGGTGCCACATCTCATATGACTGCCATACCCTCTTTACTCTCTAATTATCATCCATGTTTTACATCCACGCACATTACTACTGCTGATGGGACACCTACAAAGGTTGCAGGACTTGGTACGGTTGTTTTTTCTGAAAAATTAAATCTGAAAAACACCCTACATGTCCCAAACCTGGCTATGAACCTTGCTTCTATTTACAAACTCACAGTTGATCTTAATTGTGCTGCCATTTTTTTCCCTTCCCACTGTTTATTACAGGATCTACACACGGGGAGGACGATTGGAATTGCTAAACAAAGAGATGGCCTGTACTACCTTGATGCACTGTTTGTCTCCAAACCTCCACAAAAAGCTCTTACCACAATCACAGCCAATACCAACACTATTTGGCTTCACCACAAGCGTCTTGGTCATCCCTCTTTTCATGTCCTAAAAACCATGTTTCCCAGTCTTTCTAGTAGTATTGATGTTTCTACATTTCAATGTGATGTCTGTGAACTTGCTAAACAGTCTCGTGTATCTTTTTCCAGAAGTAATACAATCAGTTGTTCTCCTTTTGATATTATACATAGTGATGTCTGGGGTCCTGCTCCAATTGCTAATATATCTGGTGCCCGGTGGTATGTTACATTTATTGATGATTGTACACGTTTTATGTGGGTTTTTCTGCTAAAAAACAAGAGTGAGGTGAGTTCCATCATTCCTATCTTTTGCAATATGATTCATAATCAGTTCTCCGCCACAATAAAACGCTTCCGCACTGATAATGCTCTTGAATACTTCAATCAAACCGTTTCCTCTTATTTCCTCTCAAAAGGCATTGTTCATGAGTCCTCTTGTCCGTACACACCACAACAGAATGGCACAGCAGAAAGAAAAAATCGCCATCTCCTAGACGTCAGTCGGGCTTTATTGTTTCAATCAAATATGCCTAAACACTATTGGGGGGAAGCCACACTCACAACATGTCATCTCATCAATAAAATTCCCAGTCGGGTACTCCAAAATAAGTCACCCCTTGAATCTCTCCGTCATTTCTTTCCTCAAACCAGAATTTCTTCTGATCTTGATCTAAGGGTGTTTGGGTGTACTGCATTTGTTCATATTCCTCCACCTCATAGGGGAAAATTGGACCCACGATCTATTAAGTGTATCTTTCTTGGTTATTCTCCAACTCAGAAAGGATATAAGTGCTATAATCCTACAACCAGAAAGACATACACCAGTGCAGATGTGACCTTTCACGAAGACACACCTTTTTACACTCCTACTTCTCTCCCTGTATCCCAAGATACTCCACATCCTTCACCTCTGCCCACCTATACTATTACATCTTCTCCACCACATACAATCTCCTACCCTCCTAAGCCTTTATCACCAGACATCCCATCACCACCACCACCACATGATCATCCATCACCTTCCTTAGATGTGTCAGCAACCTCACCTACTTCCCAACAGTCTTCAACATCACCTGAACCTCAATCAAATACACCACCAGATCATCCCATTCCTACACCTACTAAATCCACCACTCATGACCCATCTTCTCCTCTACCAGTGACAAAAGTGTACTCAAGGAAAAACAGGTTCACTCCATTGTTGACGCATGACCAATTGGCTGACCCAGGTAATGTCTCTTCTTCTCCACCACCATCTCCGCCAATTGCTTTACGCAAGGGTGTACGTCAATGTACCAAAACACCTCTATACCCTCTTGCTAATTTTGTTACCATTGATAACTTCTCTAAAAATCCTTCACATGCCTTGTTTGTTCAGAGACTTAATGAAATTCCCATACCCAACTCTGTTTCTGAGGCATTAGGAAAGAAAGAATGGAGGGATGCTATGCAAGAGGAAATTAGAGCTCTTGAAAAGAACCATACTTGGGATATTGTGACTAAACCTCCTGGGAGGCATGTTGTTGGTTGCAGGTGGATCTTTACTGTCAAATACAAGGCCGATGGATCTCTTGAGCGGTACAAAGCTCGTCTTGTGGCTAAAGGATACACTCAGACGTATGAGATTGACTATCAAGAGACCTTTGCTCCTGTAGCTAAGCTCAATACTGTCTGTATCCTACTATCCTTGGCATCTCACTTTGATTGGCCTTTATTGCAATTTGATGTCAAGAATGCTTTTCTCCACGGTGACTTGCATGATGAGATCTACATGTACATTCCCCCAGGCTTTAATAAAACATCAACAAGAACCTCTACACATGTATGTCATTTAAAAAAAACCCTCTATGGTCTCAAGCAATCCCCTCGTGCTTGGTTTGACCGCTTCACACAGGTTGTTCTTGCTGCTGGGTATAGTCAAAGCCAAGGGGATCATACTCTTTTTTACAAACACTCTCGCCCAAATGGAGTCACTATTCTTTTGGTATATGTGGATGACATCATTGTGACGGGTAATGATCCAGTTGAGAAACAACGTCTTGAGGGGCAGCTGAAATCCAAATTCGAGATGAAGTCTCTTGGCCCTCTAAAATACTTTCTTGGAATTGAAGTTGCTCGCTCATCTGAAGGCATCTTTATCAGCCAACAAAAGTACATTACAGATTTGTTAAATGAGACCGGTAAGAGTGCTTGTCGACCGGTTAATGCACCTATGGATCCTAATCACAAGCTTGGAGTTGCTACTGATGAACCCAAGGTTGATTCATCAATGTATCAGCGCTTGTGTGGCAAACTTATCTATCTCTCTCATACTAGACCTGACATTGCCTATGCAGTTAGTGTTTTGAGTCAGTTCATGCATGATCCAAGGAAACCACATCTAGAAGCAGCCTATAGGGTTCTTCCCTCGTTGACCGCCGGTCAACTACTGGTCTCTGTGTTTTCCTGGCAGGAAACCTCGTGACATGGAGAAGCAAAAAACAGAATGTTGTGGCACGATCATCTGCTGAATCTGAGCTAAGAGCTCTTGCCCATGGCTTATGTGAACTTCTATGGATCAGAATTATTCTCTTAGATTTACGAATCAAGTGGAAAGGACCAATGGAATTGAGGTGTGATAACAAATCAGCAATCAACATAGCTCATAATCCAGTCCAACATGATCGGACCAAGCATATTGAGATTGATAGGCACTTTATCAAAGAAAAGGTTGAAGGAGGTCTGATCGAACTAAGCTACACTCCCTCAGAAGATCAAGTTGCAGATGTGTTTACCAAACCTCTGCACAGTCCTAGGTTCCAGGGTCTTATTGTCAAGCTAGGCATGACGGATATCTACAAACCTAGCTTGAGGGGGAGTGTTGATAAAACGAAGAGACATCATTAATCTAGGATTTATTTTCCTTATTATTACTGTAATTATGTATCTTTAGTGCTTCAGGTTGTATTTAATAGCTGCTGTCTTTTCAGTTCTCAATCATTGATGTTTAGTATTTAGACAGTCACCTAGGGTGCTGAATAGACTCTCTCAGGATTCCTATCTGTATAAATAGCTTATGTACTTCTTGTAAATGAATTCAAGGAAATAATATTCAGAAAACTTCAGGCATTGTAAGCAATTTTTTTTTTGATAAATTAATCGAACTAATTAATTCTCTTAACGTATGATTTTATCAATGAAAAATGATAAAAACTACTAGAGGGGTTATAGAAATGGTTCCCAGGTAAGTTGAAATTTCACTCTATCACAGACTTAAGAAGCATGCCTAAACAATGTTTTCTTTGTTTTGGCAGTTAACTGTTCTCATGGTATACATATTTCTGTATGGTCGCCTCTATCTTGTTCTAAGTGGACTTGAGAATGAATTGAGTAGCCAGCCGGCAATACGGAACAATAAACCTCTTCAAGTTGCGCTTGCTTCCCAGTCTTTTGTCCAAATTGGTCTTTTAATGGCATTACCAATGATGATGGAGATAGGTCTCGAAAGGGGTTTCCGCACCGCCTTAACCGATTTTGTACTCATGCAGCTTCAACTCGCCCCTTTATTCTTCACGTTCTCCCTGGGGACAAGAACCCATTATTTTGGAAGAACACTGCTTCATGGGGGCGCTGAATACAAAGGCACTGGTCGCGGGTTTGTCGTGTTTCACGCCAAGTTCGCCGATAACTACAGAATGTACTCACGAAGCCATTTCGTGAAGGGAATTGAGTTGATGACTCTGCTTCTTGTGTACCACATATTTGGCTCATCATATAGAGACGTGGTTGCTTATGTACTAATAACCGTATCGATATGGTTTCTGGTGGGGACATGGCTGTTTGCTCCATTTCTTTTCAATCCTTCCGGCTTTGAGTGGCAAAAGATTGTTGATGACTGGATGGATTGGAACAAGTGGATTCACAATCACGGTGGCATTGGGGTCCCACCAGCAAAGAGCTGGGAATCTTGGTGGGAGAAAGAACAATTGCATCTCCAGCATTCCGGGAAGCGGGGCATCATTATTGAGATATTGCTATCGCTCCGGTTTTTTATATATCAGTATGGGCTTGTGTATCACCTGACCATCACCAAGAGATATAAGAGTATATTGGTATGACTTGAAATAGTCATTTTAATCCGTTGAAGAGCTGTGAACTGTTTCCGGAACTTGGCCTACTCTTGATATATCTTTCTTTTTCTTGATCTTGCACTTTTCAGGTTTATGGTGTTTCGTGGCTGGTAATTTTCTTTATACTAGCAGTAGTGAAGGTGAGTTGTATGGTACTAATTCACATTCTATTAAAACCGTATGGATTTTGGAAAGTAGTGTTATCATTGTTGAGATGCCAGACTATAAAGGGAAAACTTTCACCATTGGGCTTAAAATAATGTGAGATTCCAAAATACAATTGTATTTTCCAAGAATGACAATAATTACTCCTATTTAGGGGAAAACATAGCATTCCTATTTTCTAATTTCACATTATTTTTGCTCCTAAATATTTCTATACTATAAATTATTAATGTCTAGTCCAATCATCAGTTGAAGCTTTTAGTTGCACTTCGCATATGTTATTTAGCTAATGTTAGATACGTAACTCAACAAACATATGTAGTTTTTTTGCTTCACTTCTACTCAAGTACGTTTTGAAGATATGCTCATTCAGTTATTGATCCACTTTCTCCATTCTTTTCTTTTCAGATTGTGTCCGTGGGGAGGAGGAGATTTAGTGCTGAATTCCAGCTTCTTTTTCGGTTGATCAAGGGTTTCATATTCATATCATTCATGTCTGTTTTGATCACGCTAATAGTGGTTCTCCACATGACATTCCGGGACATCATTGTCTGCATCATCGCCTTCATGCCAACCGGATGGGGTTTGCTCATGGTAAGTGTTATGTATCATTTGTAGTTTTCTTCTTATTTCCCTCTTTAGAATGTCTCGAAATTTTCTTTCCATTTCACTTTTAGGAAAGTTGTGTGCTGGGTGTTGTTTTACATGAACCACAACCATATACATTCATTTTCTTAATAAGCATACCAAATCAAAATGGGAAAATCCCATATGCTGGCTAATTATAAAATGTTTTTCTAATTTGTGCCCACAGTTGCAAATGTGGTTGCTGTTTCATGTGTTGAGAATGGATTTGATCTTTTCAAGAAAAAAGCAAATTTAGTTTCAAATGTCATTTAAATTTACCATTTATTACCATTATTGTGGATAATTTTATAAAACAATATAAAAATAAAGATTCATTTTTTCTAGGATAATATAAAATACCAAACCAACATATAGGACCTGAGACACTCCCATTTTTTAGGGTAATCCTCCTCGGTCTTAACATGTTATATAAAAAATAAGCCAATGTGGACTCCCTTTCACACACTGAAGTGGGACAAGAATTATTACATTATCTGGAATGTCTGTCCATCCGTGATGTCATTTTCTACATTTGGCGGAGCAGATAGCGCAAGCGTTGAAACCATGGGTAGAACGTGCTGGGATTTGGGGGTCGGTTAGGACGCTTGGGCGCGGTTATGAACTGACAATGGGATTGCTTTTGTTCACCCCGGTTGCATTCCTGGCTTGGTTCCCGTTTGTATCAGAATTCCAGACGCGGATGTTGTTTAACCAAGCATTCAGCAGAGGTCTGCAGATCTCTCGGATTCTTGGTGGTCCCAAGAAGGAGAAAGATACCTCCTCCAAAAATGCAAAAGACTAAACCGCGCCCCTTGAATTATTACTGCTCATGTACCACCATTGTATATGTATGATATGATATGTAAAAATGTAACCGTACTTCAGTTTTGGGTAGCTAATAGCCTAAAAGTTTAGGGCTTATTTCAGTCTTGTTTCAGGGTTTTAACAAGTACTACCCTCAATGCGTAAATCCCATATTTCTTTTCTGGGGCATTCCATGTTAAATGCCCCAAGCCTGAATAGTATTTCTTTCTGAATTTGATAAAGAATATCTTATGACTTTATTCTACTACCTTCAGCTAATACCAGTAACAACAATGCAGTAATGCAGTATCAGATGGTGTGAAATAACGTGGATTCGCACCACATACAATTGTTTGTATGTGTGCGGATCAGTGTTGATCAGTTGCCTGTATGATCAACTGTAATTGCCTATGAATAAAATGAGTTTTTTGATAAAAATTTTGCACTCAAACAAAATTGCTTATAGGCGTAAATCCATGGTGTAATTGTCTGAGAGCAATTTACATATGATTTCGAAAGGATTTTGAAAAGTCAAGAAAAAGAAATGATAGAAAAAGACGTATTAGCTGACAGGGTGAATAGAGGAGAGGGAAAGGAGATGATTTTTGTGCTAGTAAACAAAAATTTGGAAGTGAAATGACAGAAGGGGGGATGAAAAAGTTTAAGAGGGAATGGAAGACTCAAATAGGAAAGGGGAAGACAGAACATTAGGTTGTAATTTGTAAATCTAAGCTACTATTATACATTGTAACTCAATCATTCACAAAAGCAAATAGGGATGAACCCAACCGGTTCGGCCCGGCCCAGAACCGGCCCGGCCCGCCACTGTGCAGGCCCGGACCAGCCCGGTTGGTACTAACCAGGCCCGGGCTTTTACCCGGTTGGGGAAGGTTAGGTGGGCCAGACTAAGGGCCTATATTTGTTGAGCCGGCTTGGGCGATTCGGGCCGGGCTTGGGATTTTTTTTTGGGTTTTTCATTTTTTTTGTTTTTCTTGGTTAGGGCTGGGTGTTTTGGGGGGGTTTGGGGGGTGGGGGTGAGGGGGGGGGGGGGGGTTGGGGGTTAATTAGAAAGCAAAAAAAAAATTACCTTGACCCGGGCCCAGCCCGGTTAGGCCCGGACCCGGTATCAACCTGGGCCGATTCCGGGCCCAACAATTTGAAAAAAAAGCCCGCCCGGGCCCGGCCTGGAATCGGAACCGGACCGGCCCAGGTCCATCCCTAAAAGCAAACAAGCTCATAAGCTCTTATATAGCCTAGGGATGGACTCGGGCCAGGTTAACCGGCTCGTAACCGGCCCGAACTAGTACTGTTATGGCCCGGACCGGCCTGGTACCTGGTTTTGTGCCCGGTTTGGGCCACCCGGCCCGACACTGTAGAGGGGCGGTTCCCGGGCCTCCCATATGATGAATCGGCCTGGCCGGTTCGGGCCTAACGGTCAGATTTTAAAAAAAAGTTAAATTAATTAGAGGCCCCCAAACGGCTCTATAGCTGATGTAGGGTAGGCTGGGGTCCGGGGAGGGGTTAGGGGGGGTTAGGGGGTGGGGGTGGGGTACAAAAAAAAACTATAAATACTCTTATTTTCTAAATAATTTTCTACACATCTTCTCCAACTCTTCCTACTCTCTATTCTCTAATATTCTTAATCATCTCCATGTTCATCTTCTTTAATTCTCTCTACATATATTTATACAATTATTATATCTACTTATATATTAATTATCTACTTATAAATACATATATTATAGGGAGAACTATCAAATAAGCCCTTGAACTTACATAAAAAGTGCAAATAAGACCTTTTATAGGAGACTCTGTCCGACCATCGCCATTTGGGGTAGGGGTGGACTCGGGCCGGGCCAACCGGCTCGGAACCGGACCGGCCCGCCACTGTGCGGGCCCGGACCGGCCCGGGAACCGGTTCGTTGGGCGGTTCGGGCCACCCGGCCCGGTGGATTCTCGGTTCGGGCCCTTCAAAAGTTGAACCGGCCCAGCCAGTTCGGGCCCTGGCCGGGCCAATTTTAATTTTTTTTTTGATTTTTTTTTGAGTTTTTGGGTTGGACTGGTTATTTTGGGCCATTTGAGGTGGTTAGGGTTGGTTTGGGGGTGAGGGGGAGGGGTGGGGGTTAACTAGGAAAAGCCCCCCCAAAAAAAAAAAAAAATACCCGAGGCCCGGCCGGGCCCGGCCGGGCCCGGCCCGGACCCGGGGTTTATCCGGGCCGGTTCCGGGCCTCCCCTTCTTGAACCGAGGCCCGACCGGGCCCGAACCGGCCCGAGTCCACTCCTAATTTGGGGTGGTTCCCGGTGAAATTTTTTGATGATTTTTTTTGATCATCTTATTCATTAAGTCTAGTTTTCTCATATCAAATTTCAGCTAAATATTCAATCGGGAAGGCACCCAAATGAATTTTTGAAGATAACTGTGCAGTTAAACAACGCAGTATATTTCAGAAAATCATTTGACTGCCTTCTCGGTTGAAGTTTTAGTTGAAATTTGGTATGGGTAAACTAGACTTAATGAAGAAGATGCTCAAAAATTTTCATCAAAATATTCCACCGGAAACCTCCCCAGATGGCGACGGCCAGATAGAGCCTCCTATAAAATGACTTATTTACACTTTTTATGTAAGTTCGAGGGCTTATTTGATAGTTCACCCTATATTATATTACTAAATTTTAATTATCTACTTAATATATACTTATTATCTACTTTATATATACTTCATATTTATTTAATATCTACTTATTATATTATTGTTATTTACTTACATTTACATATTACATCTACTTAATATATACTTATATACTTATATATATATATATACATATATATATATATACATATATATATATACATATATATATATATACATATATATATATATATATATATATATATATATATATATATATATAGGGGATTGTTCAAATACAAAGAATTCTTCTCATGCAAAGTGAGAATAAATCTTGTGCATTCATTTCCACATCTAATGGCTCAAAATGAGCCAAAAAAGCACTAAATTCGATCAAAATCGCGGTGACAATTTCGTAAATAAACCACATTTTTTTACCACTGTGAAAAAGTGAAAAAGAAACACGAAAAAGTGCAAGCGAAACATGAAAAAGTGCATATTTTCGCACTTTGCACCGGAAGAGGTCTTTTTATTTGAACTCTTCCCTATATATATATATATATATATATATATATATATATATATATATATATATATATATATATATATATATATATATATATATATATATATATATATATATATATATATATATATATATATATATATATATATATTACCCCGGAAGGCCAACCACCAAAATCAGTGGGGTAAATGTCGGGGGACATTTACCAGAATTTTATTAAAAAGTAAAGTAGTACAAAGTTCGGGGGAACCAAACCCAACCCAAAGTAAAACAAAGGAGAAATAAATTATTCTCTAAAAGAAGGAATGCCAAATAAGTCCATCCAATAAGATCGTTTAGCTAAAACCGGAAGCTGATCCAAGCTGATATAATTAACCGAGCAGTTATTCGCTTCTTGGGCTAGAAAATGAGCGACCCAATTCCCTTCCCGTCTAGTGTGTCCAAATGAAACCCATTGCCTAATTCGCATCTGTATAGTTTCCTGAATCTCAATCGCCCACCTTGTACTCTCCTTTCCGTCTAGGTATTGCAGCGCAATGTGGGAATCAGATTCGACTTGGAAGTCTTCAAAACCAGCATAAATCGCCCACTTTAGAGTGAAGAAGACAACTCGCAGCTCAGCATCGAGGGGGGATCGAGCCTGGATAGGAAAGCTAATAGCAGAGACAAAAGTACCAGACCTATCTCTCAAGATAGCACCACTAAAGGAGATACCAGATAAGTAACTTGCATCAACGTTAAGCTTCCAGGTTTTATTTGGTCTGTTCCATCTGATAATTTGAGGCTTAAAACCTGCAAGCTTCAAATTCTTAGGAATAATTCCTTCTTCATGTAGAATCGTACCAATCGTTCTAATTTTCTTGGTAGATATGCTTGAAATCCAAACTTGAGTGTAGAGTTTGATTTGGATTATAATTGATTTTGAATTTGGGGTATGCCCACTTGAGCCCCAAATCAAACCAGTGTAAGTTTTCCATAAAAACCAGCAGATGATACCCGAAATATTTTTCCTAAACAAATCCACCAAGCTGTTGTCATTATTTCTCAGTTTCCAATTAAGGAAGTTTCCATAATCAATCCTTACACCTTGAAAGATATCTAAGATGTTCAAGAAATAATGCCAAACACTTTTACTGACTGAGCATTGAAAGACAACAGCTTATGGACAAGTTTCATACATGTTTCAAAGTGTCATTGTCCTTTCTACATAGAGGGAAGATTGAAGGATTAAGAACAAAATTAAACATTCTTAATCTATCCAAAGTGGGAAGAATACCTTTGCTAATTTTCCATTGCAAAAGTTTGATTTTTTGCTCCTGGTCTGTATCCCAAATCTGTTGATTAGTATATGAACTGAAAGAAAGTTCATGCACTTCATCAAAAGCTGTTTTAAAACTGAATTGACCATCGTCCTCTTCATTCCAGGTGAGATGTCCTGCAGAATCTTTGGAGCAAAGTTCAGAAGCTTGAGCCTGAGCAGAGCAAATTCTCTTCCAAACTGTTGAATCTGTTAATCTAGGTATCATGCTGCCTTCCCTATCATATCTTGCCTTCATAAGCTGAGCCCATAAAGAGTCACCAGCTTTCCATTTCCACCACAATTTTATGGTAAAGGCTTTTTCAATGTCAGTCAAAGATCTAATGCCTAAACCCCCTTCAATTGGTGGTAAACAAAGCTTCTCCCATTTGATCCAATGATACTTTCTCTTTTCATTGGAGGATCCCCAAAAGAAATATGCCATTTTGCTGTTAAGAACTTTAATAACTTTTTTTGGGTAAAGTATCAGATGCTAAAATATGCAGGGGATCGGAATTCAAAACATATTTAATAAGAACCAGCCTCCCTCCTTGAGAAAGAATTTTCTGTTTCCAAGGAGAAAGCTTGTTCTCAAACTGTTTAATTAGATTTGTACAGTAATCAAATCTATTGATGCCTTTGTGTAGATTAACACCCAAATATCTGATAGGAAGTGATACTTTTTTCATGGCCAGAAGGTCCTTAATCCTAGAGTGTCTAGCAGGAGCAGCCTTACCACAGACAAAGGAACTTTTAGAAATATTTATCATCTGCCCTGAAGCATCCTGATAAAGTTGAAGAAATTTTTTGAAGTTGAGCAATGATCTGGCATCTCCATTCAAAAAGATC